ATACCAGCTTCAACTCTCTCCCCAGTCAAAATCAATTCAGTGAACCCAGACGATGAACTTCCGATCAATTGATTGAAATATGGACCAGACAAAGTCCCAAGAAACATATCCACCAACTCCCTATCAGACAGAGGGGGTTGGACTCTTCCAGCAAGATCTCTCCATTTCTGAGCGTAGTCCTTAAATCCTTCGCCTGTAACCATAGACATACTCTGAAGTTGAGTACGCGTGGGAGCAAGGTCGGCATTATACTGGTATTGCTTATAAAAAGCAGCAGCGAGATCCTCCCAGTTGCGGACATTAGCTCCTTCTAATTGATAGAACCATTCAAGTTGAGTCCCTGACAGACTATCTTGAAAGAAATGAACCAACATGTTCCTATCAGCAGTATATGGTTGAATATTTCTGACATACGAGCGGAGGTGTAGCTTTGGGAAGGATACCCCATCATACTTAGCAAAGACAGGAGCTTTAAACTTGTGTGGGATCACCACCCCATATGCCAAACCCAAATCTCTGAAGTCCAACCCAGGTATCTTCTGGATCTCCATTGCACTCAACCGGTCTTCGAGTTGCTTATATCTATCTTCAGCAGGAGGATACTGGTCCTCATCAAAATCTGTGTCATTATCAGAAACCAAAGAACTAGGCTCCTTTCTTTCCTCTTGATTCTCTCCCCCTCCAGATGAATGGGACAAATCAGTTTCCTGTCGCAAATTGTTCCAGAATTTGCGACCCATATTCAGGAGGACTACTTTCTTCTTCTTCTTCTTCTTCTCTTTCAAGATGAGAGACTTCAAATCTTGTTGTCCTTTGGCCAAATTCAGGAACATGTCTTGGAATTGTGCACTCTGAGCTTGAAGAGCCTTGATGGCTTGATCAGTAGGTGTTTCAGAAGACATGATTGCTTAAATAAACAGCGAAGACGATAAGAAACCTATAAGGGTACCTGTAATGAGGTGCATGGGAATGGAATGCGTATGAAATGATTTTGAAGACTTTGGGAGATTCAAATTTGTAAACCAAAATAAAACACACTTTATTAGATAAAACTGGTAACAATGTTTAACAATGCCTTTAAGGCGTTACAAAAGAAAAACTGAAAAGAAAATCTAAACTAGAAACAATAAAAGACATCAGAAATCCCATGGTCTCTTTCCCTTCATGCTGACATAGTCGTTGATCGTCCTTTCATTCTCAAGCTGCTTTATAAGCCTCAAGATCTTCCTCTCCTGCTCATGATGCTTTTCCCTGTAGGTATCCCTTTCTTCTTTTAGCTGGATACAAGATCTCTTCAATGCCCCAAGATCAGTAGGCATGTATGGATGGAGGACCGTATAAGGAACACCTTCTTCATCAGTATGCTCTATGATCACTAGAAAAATAGCTTCATAAGGCATCCCCAGCTTTTGAGCACGGGCTCGAACCCACTGGAGATATGGTTGCATCGGGAGAGAAGTCTTCATTCCTAGCTCATGTGGGTCAGACCTGTTCACCATGCCCCAAGCTCGTATAAACCTACAATGATGTCCCTCAATATCCCCCTTGTAGTCAAAGACAATGCCTGTAAGCAACAGCTCATGGGAACCATCTCTCCGAGCGCGTCCAAATTGTCGTAGAGCCAAACAAGGATTATAGGTTATACCCCCTCGAATTCCAAGCAACGAAACATTAGGGTATTCCCCACATCGATCAATGACGGCTACTCTTTCCATATCTTTAGAACTCCAAAGGATGTCTGTATGAGCAAGGGACATGATTCTATAAGCCCAACCTACGCCTTCCTCATTCTTCAATATAGATTTGGAGGGGTGCTAAATAAACCACCTCGCCAGCAGCGGTGTACAACACATAAGGGTTCCCCTTCTTCGCACGGTACGGGTGTAGAGAGCATGTAGAATATCACCTAGAAGAGTAGGCACTGGGTTACGAGACATGAAGATCTTGACCGTGTTCATATCTATGAAAGAATCTGGATTTGGGAAAAGAACCAAGTCGTAGATGAGGAGAGCCAAGATGTCTTCAAATGTTTGAAAATACAAGTTGTCCCAGAATTGTTGAGCTTGATCAATCAAAAACTTAGCCAAGAAACCTTTAACCCCACTCCGAGCCTCCCAGTTAGATACTACATCAACCATTTTTAGATGTAGGGCTGAAGCAATATCCTCTGGCCTAGGAGCTATCTCCAAACCTGAAAAGGGTGTATGCTCTAGAATATATATGCCCAACAAATCAGAAAACTCCTCCAAAGTAGGGACTAGTTGATAATCCGGGAAGGTGAAACAATGATGCAATGGATCAAAGAAATGGAATAACACACTCATCATTTGCTCATCCAACCTTGAAGTGACCAAGCTAAGGAGGTGACCATGTCTTCTAACAAATGAATAAGTATCAGGAACCTTTGAGGCTAACTCTCTGAGCTGAGCAGGGATTTACACGAAGTTGATTCGAATGGTATTTCTGCGCATAAAAGCCATGATCTGCAAAACAGAACAAAGATGAATCCCCTTGGTCTTTGAAATGGTTAGTCTAATGAAATATGCATGCCATGTCATGATGCATGATGTCATGATAAAACACACAATAGGTATCACAGATAGCAAACATGGTAAAGGCAAACAAGTCACACAAGAGCCCTTAAATTTCAGGCTGGCATGGAGTTTAGGTACTACCCTCTTGCAGTTTAGTTGGTTCAACATGTCCTAATAATAGTAACCGGGTTCTAGAGGTTCTCAATATCACTGACCATCCTCCATCGGTCATAATTCCAGTCACGCAATCTTTTCTTCCAGCCGGAACCATCTCGAGAGTTTGGTCTCAATGAGTGTAGCATATCACTACTTCCTATGGCCAAGTTGGTCAATTATAGGTTCTAAGGTCAATTGATGCTTAATGACCCATATAGCAGCCCCATACTCTCCTTGTTGCTTCACAAGGGGTATCGGTACCAACTAATGTGCCACATCAACGTAGCTACTGCTTCAACCATATCGGTCTACGCCGTACAGTTCCCTCACAGTCTATTGCTACTTACCTAATAGGTGTCCCCCAGATCCGGGTTAGGATCTATAGTAACTCTAATACAAATCCTGCAAAGATAAAGTAATCAAATCAAACAATAGAAAACAATATGATGAACTAATCCTAAGGTACACCCCACTTATTAAGTCCCCAGCAGAGTCCCCAGTTCTGTGATACGGTGGCCAGAACCGGGAATTATTTCCCTTTTTTAGGAATTGCTGGTTTGCGTTTTGCGTTTTTGTTCGCAAAATTTCGCAGTAAGCAAGAGTCACCCCCGACTTTTATTTTATCCAACAGGAAAGGAAAAAAGCACAGAAAAAATCCTTTTTTGAGATATTTCTGAGTACGGGGGGTAGATTATAGAAAGGGAAGGTATTAGCACCCTTTCTATCCGTAGTTATCTACGGGCTCTTAGTTACTTGCTCATCATTTTCAAAATTGTTTTCTTTGTGTTTGTGTGATTTGAAAAGCTTTTGTTTTGACTTCGATTTAACTCTTGCTTCTGTCTTCAAGAGTGTAATGAAGTGTTTTTGAAAAATTTGTTTGAAAGGAGTGTAAGTGTGAAAAATTTTGTTTTGTTTGAGAAAGTACTTCAGAACTAATCTACCTACTCGAAAAAAGAATCGTTCCATGTTTGTTTCCTTTAGACAATGCTATCCCACTATTAGTGAGTAGGTAGCACCGTCGTTGGAGTTTTGAGGGTCAATTCGAAAGGGACGTACGGTCACTAAAGCAATGTTAGGACGTCTTAGTAATAACCCTAATGTCTTAGATCAATTATCTGAGGCAACAATATCCGAGGCAACCTTTCTGAGGAAACTATGATCTTTGGACAAAAGGACGACCACTAAAACACCCTATACTTAATGACCGTTTACCGAAGGCAACCAAGTGAGAGTGTACCCTAGGAGTGCATATGTGCGAGTGATTCAATTTCAGATTATTATCTTTACACATTTTAGGGTTGTCTAACTGTTTTAAAATTAATCATGCATTCTTGTCATGCATCCTAATATCATACATCTAACAGTTAATATTTTGCGGAATTTAAAATGCGAAAATTAAACTACGCTATTACAAGGCTTAGGGTATTTACATAGCCAAAAACAAACCCTTAAGAAATAAAGCGATACATGAAAATATAAGTCCTAATTAAGCTATTACAACTTGTAGGTAGTTACATCAATATGGTAAATAATAAAATAATAAAGCGCGCGCGATGCAATTAGAACGATAAGAAAAATTAGGGTTTTGACCCTTTTTAACCTAACTAAAAGAAAAATGTTTTTGTTGTTTTTAATTATTTTTTTAAAGAAAAGAATTAAGTTTTCTAAATTAAATATACAATTAATTAGTTAATTAAATTAATTAATGAAAATAATTACATGGCCTATTTTTATGTTTTTGGTTAATTTTAGGAAAAGAAAATATAATTAAGTTAGAAATAAAACCCTAATTGTCCTAATTAATTTTAATTTATTTACAAAAAGAAATTAAAGTTTACCTGAAAATTAAATTACACTAATTAAATTAAATTAATTTTTGATAAAAAATAAGACCTAAACCTAATTTGGTGAAAAGTTGATTTTATGAATTTTGATTGGTTAAAAAAGAAATTATTTTAGTATTGAAAGAGTATAATAATAAAAAAAAGTAAAAGAAATAACCCAAGAGCCCACTGCCAGTGGCTCTGATCAGAAGATGATGATCCAGAGGATGAAGGTATAAAAGATGTTGGTCCAGAAGATGGAGGTCCAGAAGATGATGGTCTAGAGGATGGTGGTACTAGGCCTACTCCTGGCTAGTAGATTTAGCAAATTGTGACCGTCAAAAGATGATGTAAGCTGGATCTGGCTGAGACTGATGGATCCAGAGGATAATGCCTAGGAGGCGCTTGATCTGGTCCTGCCTGATGAAATCAGAAGATAATCTCCAGCAGATGTAAACGCTGGATCTGGTGAAAACAAGGGGGAAAGATGCCAGAAGGTCACGCCTGGGATCAAACCCAGAATCATGAATTTCTGACTTCCTCCTTCTGAATTACTGCATTGGGTGTTAGTTTAACAATATAGCAGAACAAACAAGCATATCAGAACTATGGGTTTTTCTCCAGAACAGATGCGCCATAATTTAAACCGGCCAATAGAGTGGTGACACGCTATCATCTTCTTCCTTGGATCCGCCGTTTAAAACTCATAACTTTTACCTACGGACATGGCGCTGTAGCTGTAACCATGTACATATCAGAAATCACATACAAGCAAAGTAAATAAAATTCAAGACCATGGATCAGCTGGGTTCGATCTGCTGATCACAATGGTCTCTTCCATTTAGGCCAATTTCACCTGCACGAGAAAACCCTAAAATGAACCAATAAAACCTAACAATGGCAGATCTTGATAAAGTCCATAAAAATGCAATTGAATATTACAGATAGTTTGAAAATGTCTTAAGGATCAAGAATATATGATTGTTTCATGCTATCAATGCCAAATTTATGCAATTTAATTTCAAAAATTCATCATAGTCGTGACTGACTTACAGTGGGTTTCAAGGCCTGAAATTGCTTGTTCTTGATTGGTTTCGCTTGCCTACACTCCTAGGAAGCGATTGGAATGGTCAGGAGGCCTTGAGGATGCCTGGAAATATAAATTAGAAGTATCACTTTTTCTCTATTTTTTGCAAGTTTGTTCTGGTTCTCACGCCTCCTCCTAGCCTCTCTTTGGGTCTGCACATCATCCTTATGTACTGAGGAATGAATTAGGGTTGAAAACCTGGCCTCAATCTTCCTCCATCAATGTCTTTGATCTTGATTTGATTCTCTTTAAAATCATTCCAAAAATAGTCCAAATACAATCCTTTTGTGCACTCCATGTCTTTACACGAATTTGATCTCATGCTAGCTGGAATTTAAGACCTGAATCATGTAAAAAAATCTTGAGTTTTCAATATTTTGGATTTTCTATGATTTGTTTTGATTTAAATTAATTTAATTCAAATAAAAATCAAAATAAATAATAAAAATAATATAATGACAAGTGGAAAAGTCTAAGGCTCTTGTACCATGTTTCCAACTCAAAACAAGTGAAAAAGATTAGGCCTATTTGGCAAACAATTGTATTTTTAGGCATAGTTGACTTTTGACAATTTTACAAAAAGGGCCAACTTCACCAATGTAAAACTTCCTCAATTTTGACTCTTTGAAGGTGTACTTGGACTTTTTAGAAAGCTTGAGATGTTATCTAAGCAACCCTTTTTGTCTCATCTAAATTTGATATACCATTCTCATGTATAAAGCTTTGACAAAAAAAAGTGTTTTTGTTGACTTTTCAAAATAACCTATAATGTCCAAATTCATAACTTCTTGTGAGTGCATATTTTGAACTTGGGAGATGAATATGGATTGTAGAGAATTGCATCCTCTTCAAAAATGAGCTTTGGATTGGTCATTTCTCATAAAGTATGAGAAATGTATGCTTGGTCAAAGTTGAGTTGATTTTTCCTACAAACCCCTAATTTAGCAACTTTTGGTTCTTGATGAATTATGAGCAATCCTTGATGAATCATGATCAACACTTGATCAAATGATGAAATATACTTCAAAATAAGTATGTTGACAAAAAATCTTGAAGTTTGACTGTATGGGGGTCACAGTTGACTTTTGCCCTAGCATAATCGATTTCCAACCCTTTGAGCAATTGACTGAGCAAACTTTCTCTGCAAGGCTTGGAACTTGACATGGATGATCTTGAGAACATATTAGGAAATTGGTGAGCATTTGGGATCCCTTGGACTCAAGTATCTTGATGCAACATGAAACCCTAATTTGAGGTAGACTACTTTAGGAGAGAGCTTGTCTAGTCAATCCTTGGACTTTCTTGAGCAACATGAGGGTATTTCTTGAAATGTTTTGAGAAATATGGGAGGGAAAATTTTGGGGTACAACACATGATGAACCAGATATTGCCTTTAAGGCAACTTTGACGCCTCAGAAGAAAACTCCTGGAGGTAATACCCGGTCTGAACCTGAACCAGATTTGCAACTTAAAGATTTAAAATGTTCCCAGCATACTGCTAGTAGTGTTAAAGCTCAAGATGATACCGGTCATGGATATGGGATAGAGATACCAGGTGATACAGTTGCGTACCAAGGTAAAAAGATTAATCTCGTAATGAAAAAGCACAAAAAGAGAAGTCTTGAAACAAAGTGTAGCGAAGGTGGTCAATTACTGGCTTGTGAAGTGGTTACTGGCCCACTATTGGTTCCTGAAAGTTGTATTGGTATGACGGCTAACATTTATCCTAAGCATACATCTGGAGTTGATCCTTGCCATAATAAATATATAGATGAAACTAACGATAATGTACAATGTAAAGCACCTTTTCGATACTTCTGCAATAAAGCCGTAGATAACAAAGATTTACCAGAATTCAAACAAGATTGGTTGAAAATGAAGGAAGAATATGAACAACTTAACAGTAAAATTAAAAATGCAAGAGAAAAGTCAATCGATGCATCTTCAACGAACTAATTACGATGAGTAATTTGCTGCACATACAACTATGATTGAACATGGAACTGGTTTTCCCTCTGATTCTAATTCAGATAATAATTCTAATTCAGATAATAATTCTAATTCAGATAATAAATTGTGTCATGATTTAAATATCATAGGCCATGCGGTGACTGGAACTTCTTAGACAGATCCTCTGTTGGAAACGGGGGCAACGATTCACTCGTGGAGCAGTATAGTGTAAAACATGCTGGCGATAGTTTGTGTCTAAATTAGAATCCGAAACAAGACCAATCTGCTCCTCCACGGTTCTTCCCGTTTAGCCATGCTAAATTCTACTTAATTCGAGCCACAAACTCGCATCTGCCGCCGCTGAACACAAAACCAAGGCCCTGCATTAGAGAATCAGAAGGTATAAAAGAGAATATAAGGAAAAAACACAAAGAAGATAACTAATCTCCTAACTAACTAACAGAATTCCTCACACTCAAAACAGAGAAATCAAGGAAAACAGTGCAATCCAAAACCATAAAACCTGTCATGAAGATGACCATTTACAAGAGAATACTTTCATATCATCACTACCATAACCTCAAACCATTAAAAATACATGCAATACCAAGGCAGTTTTGATGATACATGGTGCAACACAAGTCCAAAAGGCATCAAACCTTTGTTTTATACTTACACATCAATCCAATGTTTCAAAAATCTAACTCAATCCTACTACACAACACTAAACTGCCCTTCATTTTGAACCAAGTAAATCAGTTAATATCCACATCTAATTGGGAGACAAATCAAAAATCAGTTGGGAGAAGGACTACTAAAAACCGGTCCTGCATAACCACATCAAAAAATAGTTAATTCAACAACCAAATTCTCAACTAAATCCTAACTGTTTTTTTTCCTAAGCCCAACTAATTATAATAGAAAAGCTAACTGTCCACTCACCCTTCCAACCAACTGGTAACCAACTTTCTAACCTCATAACCACCTGTAACTAACTTCCAATCAACATTCAAAACAGAAACTAATTTCATAACAGGATCTTAACAAATTTTCTAACTGTGTCTAACAAATACCAAACCAAAAACTAACTCCCTAACGGTCTTAACAACCTCCGACCCTTCAAATTGCTTCTTAACAGAGAAATAACAGAAAATGGGGGGAGGAGAGGATACAATGGTTTTTAGGATCAGAAAAATGATAACAGTGAAAAACTAACCAGAAAAAAGATGGATTCCATTCTCTCACTGCACTTCAAAAAAATCTCGAACATACTCATCTTCTACTTCAATCTCTCTCACCCCCAAGAACCATGGTTAATCTTCTCAACTCTTTCCTCTAGGGGAAACTGAAGAATTCCAGATTCCTCTCTCTCAATCTAGAACCTTGCTGCAACTTTATCATCATCAATCTTCACCAATCTGATAATGGTTCTTCTCACGGCAACATATCCATCATCGCAAATTCTTCAATCTTCTTCAATTTTCTCTTCAAGTTCCATCATCATCTTGGCATCATCTTGAACTTCAAAAATAACCATCATCATATTCATTGCATGATCTTTGCAATAGCTTCATATTCATCACGTTTTCAACAGGTCTCGTTGCAATGGAATTTCCTACAAACAACCACATCATCGGTTACGCATAACACATCAGAACTATAACAGAAGCGCATAAAGCACTTAATCAGAGAAGAAATAGAAGAAGGTGATTAGGAAGGAACAATTGAAAGATGCAGAAAAAACTTTATCCACGTTGGTCATATATTTCATCATCGAATCAAGGTTCGTTACTTTTATTCAGATCTTTCTAATGATGCTCTTGCGGTTTAGCATACATTCATGGTGATTAAGGTGATTTTAGGGTAGTATGAACTTTAAATCTCGATGTTCTCAATGTAAACCCATGAATTCTATAGATTTAGGATTCCGAAGGTACTTCATAGGTTCGGTCTGGTCTTGAATTTTCGCGAGAGATTGATATGATGATTGAGGTCAAGATGCAATCTGAGTAAGATTATGGATGGTTCGGGGTATGTTATGGTGGTAATGGCGGGGGTAGAATCACACTGTGGTCTTAATAGAGAAAAGATAAGAGGAAGTGTGAGAATGTTGAAAGGAAGATGGAAGGACACAGCGTCCTTAAAGCCAAAACACAGTGTATCAATTTCAGATTCACTCTCTTTAAGTTTTATAAAAAGAACCATGGTTTGGGACATTATTGTATAAAAGGCCTGATATCCATTTTTTGGCATGGCTGGTGAAACATAAACAAAAAATGCTTAGCAAATTGGGCTCATCATCCCACTCCATTTACACCTTTTCCCAGTTCACTACACCTCACAGCTAATTCTTAGTTTCTTTTAAATTTTCGTTTTGTAAAGAAATTAATTCTGATATTTTCTTTTATAAGTTTGGACTGAAATTTTGTGGGGATATTAACATGTTGACTTCTGACTTGGTGATATTCTTTCCATAGTTTTTTTTTAATTATTAGTTTAGGAATTAATCGAGCTATTGATTTTCATATGTTTAGAATTAGGATTTTAATGCGTTTTTTGTCGATCCCGTATCCTCGATTCAATTCCCTTGGCATGATCAATGGTTTAACAGAATTTCCGATTATGCGCCACATTCGCGACACGCATTTGCCTTTATCTTAATTGGATATTGTTTCTGACTTTGTTTTTTTCTTGGTGAAGCTTGCTCGACGCGTACTCCCTGCTTTTTCAGTGCTTTCGTTTTCTCTTGACGACTTACTTGCTTTGGTAGCCTCCGCTACTACCCTTGTACTTCTCGCACTTTATCGCATTTCGTTATCGCTTTCTAGATATCCTGAGAAGTAGGATATAAAGAGCGTGCGCTCGAAGTCGCTGTTTAAAGACCTGTAGCAGGCAATCCGCACTTCATTTTCTATATGTGTTGTGCTTGTGTTTGTTTAATTTCTTATTGATCGATGAGTCACTCAATTTAGAAATTGAGATCACGACTTCGCTCTCAGTGCATTCTACCTATAGGATTTTATCGCTTTCCTTTCTTTCTTGTTGATCGATGAATCACTCAATTTAGAAATTGAGATCACGACTTCGCTCTCATTGCATGTTCCCTATAGAATAGTTTTGTTAGACTTTCTTTGGCATGCTAACCTAGGAAGGATCTCTTTAGGTGCTCTCTTGATCTTATTGGCTTGTTTGCTTTATCCTTGTACATACCATGTTCCGTTAGGATGTGCTCGCTCTGTTCAAACGCAAGTTAGACCTTAGGTTGTAAACCATGCATGCTAACAGTAGGTAGGAACTTCCCCTTTCATCCTCGACATAGGACTACCATTGTATGATAACATTAGGTTAGAGATAGGCTAGTCTCCCATAGACTCTTTTCTTTCCCTTTTTGCATCCTTGCATCTAAAACAATTCTTTTCTTAGCAAAAATAAACCCTTAAACCCTTTTTCAAGGTAACAAAAATAAACCAATTCAAACAATTTTGTGCGCCCAAGCACCTTTTCTCTAAAACCCTTTTCAAGTAAGGACATGATTAGTTTACTTTTGTGCCAACGCATAAGTCTTCAAAGGTTGAGCTACGGCAGAAGGAGGAATTAACATTGTTCATAAAAAATACAAACAAACAAAATATATGAGCCGAACTACGGTAGCTCTGATTCCTCAAAAAGGATACGTAGGCATTGGGGTAGGGCCCAAGCGAGTACAACTTTATTTTCCCTACATTATTTCTCTTTTCTTTTCATGCATTCCCTCTTAGTTTATAACCCTTAAGCATTAGATTGAACACACCCTTTGATTCGAATAACGAGAGTGGATCCTGTAGAGTACTACGGACGTGTGGGGTGCTAATACCTTCCCCTCGCGTAATCGACTCCCTTACCTAATCTCTCGGTTGCAAGACCTTGATTTCCAATTTAGGTTTTCTTCAATGATTTTCCTTTCCCTTTCACATGGGACAGATAAATACTCTGTGGTGACTTCATTGATTTTACCACTACAGAGTGCCCAGAAATTTGCACTCGATGATGTGGTAGTTGAATGTGTAGGGAATGGGCTCAAAGATGCCATTTGCAGAAATGAGGGAAATTTGTTGGATATGGGCTTATAAATGCCATTTGGAGAAATGATGGAAAATATCAGGATAAATCTTTTGGTTGACTTACACTAAAATAGTAGATATCTTTTGCTTGTTATTAACTGGAAGAAATGAATCTAACCAGAGGAGGTATTTTGTTTCCTGTCATTAACTGTAAGAAATGAATCTAACCAGAGGAGGTCTTTGGTTGCCTGTCATTAACTGTAAGAAATAAATCTAACCAGAGAAGGTCTTTTCGTCGCCTGTCATTAGGTCGCTTGTCATTAACTGGAAGAAATGAATCTAACCAGAGGAGGTCTTTGGTTGCCTATCATTAACTGGAAGAAATAAATCTAACCAGAGGAGGTCTTTGGTTTCCTGTCATTAACTGGAAGAAATGAATCTAACCAGAGGAGGTCTTTGGTTGCATGTCATTAACTAGAAGAAATTAATCTAACCAGAGGAGGTCTTTGGTCGCCTGTCATTAACTGGAAGAAATGAATCTAACCAGAGAAGGTCTTTGGTTCCCTGTCATTAACTGGAAGAAATGAATCTAACCATAGGAGGTCTTTGGTCTCCTGTCATTAACTGGAAAAAATGAATCTAACCAGAGGAGGTCTTTGGTTGCCTGTCATTAATTGTAAGAAATGAATCTAACCAGAGGAGGTCTTTGGTTGCCTGTCATTAACTAAAAGAAATGAATCTAACCAGAGGAGGTCTTTGGTCTCCTGTCATTAACTGGAAAAAATGAATCTAACCAGAGGAGGTCTTTGGTTGCTTGTCATTAACTGAAAGAAATGAATCTAACCATAGGAGGTCTTTGGTCGCCTGTTGTGATACGGTGGCAGAATCGATTGTTAATATTGGCTTGCGTTTTTTGTTCGCAAAATATCGCGGTAAGCAAGAATCGTCACCGAATTTTATTTTATC